TCAGATGCTTGAAAGCATTTGTATGCTTCTCCGGTTCGGTGGTTGTGATGTCTGCTGCAGTGCTTGGAGTCCTCAGGAAGAACTAGGAGCATCTTTCAACGGAGGTACCCAGCTGGGGTGCCAGGCGATCCGTTACACTCAGTATGGCAATAGAAATTAAAACAATCAGTACAAAGCAAAGTGTGTTAAAGTGGGTTAGGCTTACACTTTCCCTGAGTGGGATAAACTGTGGGTAGATGTCTGGACAGGGTGGTAACAGTCAGAAGCGATAGAACAAGCTAGGTACACCTGTCTGAGCTTAAAATGTAGGTTAAGTTTAAGAGACTTATAGGATCTAGAAATACAGTAGCATAATAACAGCGTTAAACCCTATAAAATGTTGTTGCTTTTGTGCCGCTGGGTTAGCAGTAGCCTAGGTTAGAGTCCCTGTCCAGAGACTTATCTTGGCTAGCAGCCATCTCCCAAAGTTAGAAAATCAGCCGATACCCTGGCTGGGCTTCCATCTTCCTTGTGTATATTGTCTGCTCCAGCTCGGTAGCCCATGGGTTGAGGTGCTGATGGACCATATGCCGCGTGGACGTGGTCTTAGTGGGGCATATAGAGTCTGTGTAGCGGTTGCTGGAGTGCGGTAGGCTCGGGTGTACCCTTGGAGTTGCTACAGGGGCCCGGCAGATTGGCTGCTGGGATGATCTCTGCTTTGCTGCTCTAGGTGCCCGTTGGCCTTGTCTGCTTGTGGCGTCCCATATGGGAAATGTTTGTGTTTGACCCGGGGGTGAGTCAAGGCTGTGTAGTCATTGCTCAAATGCCCGTGGGGCACCAGGAGTTGGTTTACCTGTACTGGCGCTCCCCTGGAGGTCTCCTGGGCCTGGCCCTGAGAGGGACCTCTGCAGGTGCTGACTCCTCGTGGTTGTGTGTTGGGAGGGAGTTGCTGTGCTTCCCCGCCAGGTCTCCTGTAGGGTGTACTGTCAAGATGAGTGAGGCAGCTTCACAGCGACTGAAGGTGTCATACGGGCTTCGAGTTTCTCCCAGAAGGCAGTAAATATGTTATTTAATTGTAGCTCCGTTTCCCGCCATGCGTTGGGTGGGTCAGCGGTGTGGTAGGCATCCGCCATTTTGGAGCCCGCAAGGACAGTGGGCTTGGGGCTCCTAGGAGCCTGTACTGGCTCATTGCTTTGCCGAGTGGTCATGTGGTGGTAGATGAGGATGACCCCCATCAGTCCAGAGGGGGTGGGGACAAGGGCTCATCTCCAAACACCTGGCATGGTGTCTCCACTGAGGAGCGGCCGTCTCCCCTACGCCTGCCATGCTTGTAGGCCGCACCATGAGTAGAGCTCGATCTATTGCTTGAGAGGTATCGATACCCTCTCTCGTTTGGTGGCCTTGTAACCTCGATCGAGTGCTGGTGTGGCAGCGAAATTCAGCTTTGAGTGCCTAGTTTAGCAGGAGCTGCTGAGATGAACATCCTCACTGCTCTGCGGTCAGGCCCCGCCCCCCCCACTAATATTTTTTAAGGACCAACTTCACTTTACTCTCTTTTAACATATACTTTTTTTAAAATGCATATTTTATTAAGAGTGTCAGACAAATTGAAATGCAAAACATACATTCGATATCAATGAGTAGTTTCATGCACAAGGGAAATAGGCACTTGATAATTGCAAAGTACTGACCAGGGGCGGACTGACCGGTCGGGCACTTCGGACATGGTCCGAGGGCCCGGCCGGGAGGGGGGCCCGCCGCCATCAGGGGGCCCGGCGGCAGGGCTGGATTGGGGGCGGCATCTGGGGACTGAGGTGTCCGGCCGCGTTTCATGCTGGAGCCGCCGGGACGGGTGGCAGCCTCGCCGGTCCGGCGGCACTCCTGTCCTCTCTCTAACGCTGAGGACGGAAGAAGGAGGAGCATGTCTCTCTGAAGGAGAAGGAAGAAGGAGGAGCATGGCGGCTCCAGCATGAAACACCTGTGTCTCAAGTCAGACAAAGAGGGGGATAGGGAGATGGGGAGGGGGAGAAAGAGGGGGGTAGGGAGACAGATGGGGAGAAAGAGGGGGATGGGGAGGGGAGAAAGAGGAGATGGGGAGGGAGAAAGAGGGGATGGGGAGATGGGGAGGGGAGAAAGAGGGGGGATGGGAGATGGGGAGGGGAGAAAGAGGAGATGGGAGGGGAGAAAGAGGGGATAGGAGATCGAGGATAGGGAGATGGGGGAGGGGTATATAAGAGGAGATGGGGAGGAGAAAGAGGTGGTTTGGGGATGGGGAGGGGGGAGACAGGAGCATGGGAGGAGAGGGAGATGGAGGAGAAAGAGGGGAAAGTGGGGGAGAAAAGAGGGGGATAGGGATGGACGGAAAGAGGGGGAGAAAGAGGGAGAGGAAGAGGGGTGAGAAAAGAGGGGACATAGGAGGATGGGGGAGGGGAGAAAAGAGGGAGACGGGGAGGGGAGAAAGAGGGGAGATGGGGAGGGGAAGAGGGGGGGAGGAGGGATGGGATAAGCAGGAGGAGTGGGGAGCAAAAGAGGTAATTAGGAGAGGATGGGAAAGGGGAAGAGAGGGAAGAATGAGACACGGGGAGAATAGAGAGTTGGGGGAGGGGGGAAAGAAAGGGAAGAATGAGACACGGGGAGAAAGAGGGGGAATAGAGAGTTGGGGGAGAAAGAGAGGGAAGAATGAGACACAGGGGGAGAAAGAGGGGAAATAGAGAGTTGGGGGAGGGGGGAGAAAGAGAGGGAAGAATGAGACACAGGGAGAGAAAGATGGTGAGGGGGGAGAAAGAGAGAGACACACAGGGAAAGGGGGAGAAAGAAACAGTGGAAGAGAGAGAGACAGGGAGAAAGGAGAGAGACACAAGGGGAGGGGGAGAAAGAGGCAGAGGGGTAAGAGAGACTGGGAAGGAGAGGGGAGACAGACACAGGAGCAGTGAGGGGGAGAAATAAATATACAGAGGGACGGGGGGAGACAAAAAGGCACACAGAAGGGCTGTATATATCACTGGTGGATCCAGGGGGCAACGGAGCAATTGCCCCCCCTGCCCCTGTCCGCAGGCACCGTGTGGGCAGCCGGCAGGGGAGGGAGGAAGAGAGGACCCAGGAGCTCAGCCTGCAGCTCCTCTGGGTCCTTCTTGCACGAGCACAGAGCGTTACCGCTCTTGCGAGAGTCAACTCTAGCCCTGGAGCTACGGGCTAGAGTTCACTCTCAACACTGTGACCACCAGGGATTCCTGGTGGTTGCAGTGGTGAGAGTGAACTCTAGCCCCATAAACACACTGCCCCCCCCAACACACTGCCCCCACACACACGCCATACACATTCACACACTGCCCCCACATACACCATACACATTTACACACATTGCCTCACACACATACACTGCCCACCCATATACACACAGACCCCCATACTAACATTGCCACACACATGCACAGCCCCCTCATACACACATTGCCCCACACACCCTACACATTCACACACTACACCCCCACACACAGACTGCACCCTTCACACATTCCACCACTGCTCCTATACCCTACTACAGCCCCATATCCCAGCAGACCCCAGGTAAGTTGTCAAACTGTTCTTAAACGGTTTGACTACTTACTCTGGGAGGGGGGCCCGGCCCTCCTGGCACCATAACCACTACACAGAGCAGTAGTGGTTATTGTGCATGGATTATTTCTTTAAATAATCTACAAGTGCCCCAGTAGCCAGCCAGCCCACAGGCCGGCCAGCCAGCAAACCCACAGGCAACCCACAAGCCACCAGTTAGCCAGCCCACAGGCCTACAGCAAGCCACAGGCTTACAGCCAACAAGCCCACAGCCTGCCAGCCAGCAACAGTAATTAAGGTAAGAGGAGCCAACTTGGCCTTGGTATCAGCGAGCTATGTTGTGTTGCTATATTGTGACTAGGAACCAGAGTGTTGGAGAGACCCCCCTCCAGGCCCCATTAGACTCCATTGCAGTCTCTAATGGGGCTTGGAGGAGATTCTTTCTAACACACTCTCTAAAGAACACTGAGATAGCCTCTGCTAGAATGACCCCCCCGCCCCCCATAGCCCATTAGCCCTCAATTATAGTCTCTACTGGGGCCTCGAAGGGATTATTGCACTTTTGTTCCTTGTGTCTAAAGATTGTGTAGGGTGTGGCTGGAGGCGGGACAAGGGTGGCGCTTGCTGCGGAGTATGGGTGGGGCCTGTAAGGGGGCCCTTGATTTATTTTGCCCGGGGGCCCTGAGGGTTCTCAGTCCGCCCCTGCCGCCGGGTGTACCAAGATGGCCACCGCAAGCTGGGATAAAAAAGAATTACAAATAATGTACTTATAGAAACATAGAAACATAGAATGTGACGGCAGATAAGAACCATTCGGCCCATCTAGTCTGCCCAATTTTCTAAATACTTTCATTAGTCCCTAGTCTTATCTTATAGTTAGGATAGCCTTATGCCTATCCCACGCATGCTTAAACTCCTTTACTGTGTTAACCTCTACCACTTCAGCTGGAAGGCTATTCCATGCATCCACTACCCTCTCAGTAAAGTAATACTTCCTGATATTATTTTTAAACCTTTTGTCCCTCTAATTTAAGACTATGTCCTCTTGTTGTGGTAGTTTTTCTTCTTTTAAATATAGTCTCCTCCTTTACTGTGTTGATTCCTTTTATGTATTTAAATGTTTCTTGGCCTAAGTCCTCTGTCTTCGCTTCCTTTCCTCTCCAAGTGCTTTTATATATATTAAAGCTATGACTTCTTTTTTTTAACCTTTCCTGGTAAGTTTTATCCCGCAATCCATGAACCAGTTTAGTAGCCCTTCTCTAAACCCTCTCTAAGGTATCAATATCCTTCTGAAGATACGGTCTCCAGTACTGTGTACAATACTCCAAGTGAGGTCTCACTAGTGTTCTGTACAATGGCATGAGCACTTCCCTCTTTCTACTGCTAATACCTCTCCCTATACAACCAAGCATTCTGCTAGCATTTCCTGCTGCTCTATTACATTGTCTGCCTACCTTTAAGTCATCAGAAATAATCACCCCTAAATCCCTTTCCTCATATGTTGAGGTTAGAACTTTATCAAATATTCTGTACTCTGCCCTTGGGTTTTTACGTCCAAGATGCATTATCTTGCACTTATCCACATTAAATGTCAGTTGCCACAATTCTGACCATTTTTCTAGTTTACCTAAATCATTTGTCATTTGGCTTATCCCTCCTGGAACATCAACCCTGTTACATATCTTAGTATCATCAGCAAAAAGACATACCTTACCATCAAGACCTTCTGCAATAATACTAATAAAAATATTAAAGAGAATGGGTCCAAGTACAGATCCCTGAGGTACCCCACTGGTGACAAGTCCAAGCTTCTAATATATTCCATTAACTACAACCCTCTGGTGACAAGTCCAAGCTTCGAATATATTCCATTAACTACAACCCTCTGTTGCCTGTCACTCAGCCACTGCCTTACCCATTCAACAATATTTGAATCCAAACTTAAAGATTGCAGTTTATTGATAAGCCTTCTATGTGCAACAGTGTCAAAAGCCTTACTGAAATCTAGGTAAGCAATGTCTACTGCACCACCCTGATCTATAATTTTACCACATGACAGGAGGCTTCATATTTGCATATCTTTCTTTACTCAAAACTCCAGCAGCATAGTAACATAAACAACCAATCAGAAAAAAGATATAATGCCCATAAAAGGCCCTGTCTATGACATCACTTCCTCTTTCTTTGCTGCTCCAGCCAACATCAGGTCAGAGTATTTTGCCTCCCTGGCAATTGCTTACATATATTGTTTGTTTCTCTGTATTTTGGATTGTATTGTTCTATTTTTACCTAAGTTAATTTATTTACCTAAGTTAATTTATTTATTTAGCTAATTTATTTATTTCATTTACTTATTTCATTTAATTAATTTATTTATTTAGTTTTTACTTTCGCTGTTCCCTTCTCCCTGTCCCTGCAGTTTTCTTTTTGGGCCCCTATTGCTTTTCACTGCCGGTACCCGCGAGCAACGGCTGTCAGTGCCGCGCGCCGCGGGCCGGCTAACGTTTTCCTTTTGTGGGGCTGGCAAGGGGACGGGTGGAGGGGGACTGGGAACTGTGTTCCCTCGTCGTTCCGGCGTCGCGCGGTCGATCGCGGTGCTACTTCACACGCGGGCGGCGGCCATCTTGGATCTCGCGGCTCGCGAGATACCGGATGGCCGCCTTCCCCGCTTGCCCGGCGAATCGGTAACTCACCCGACCGCCGGGCTCCACATCTTTATACCCTCCCTAGTATGTACTAAGGGAGGGTATTAGGTTACAGTGGATTTTTGCCTTTCAATATATATATTTGCCCAGTGCCTGCCTGCTGTGCTGCCTATCTATTATAAATGCATGCATTAAAGAGACAAGCATTCCCCCCTTTTTTGCCAGCTTCAGACCTTTATGTCTCTATGCCCTGCTTAGGGTCATATCAGCTACTATACCCCAATTAGGGTTATACTATACATGGTTATAATCTCCTCAGGATCAGACGGCATACTGGCAAAAATTATATACAATTATTATTTTTTATTCTCATGAGCAGGCACACAATCTATGTATTATTGTGAAGCCATACAATATCACAGTCGTTATACAAAACATATACTGTACCTATATCAAGATCAACTATATCACTGTACTCTACGAAGGGCATATTATGTTACTGTACCCTACAAAGGGCATATTATATTATATTATTGTACCCTACAGAGGGTCATATTATATTACTGTACCTGACGGTGCAAATTTATGTGGGTGTCCTCTGGGTATTTTTTCATGGCACACCACCTGGGGTGACCCCCCAGATATGCATGCAAGGTCACTGACAGACCATTACCTTTGATGTGGGTGTCCTCTGGGTTACCATGGCACACCACCCGGGGTGAACCCCGATCATATGCATGGAGGCCTACGCCTCAACTTTACCACTGATCACTACAGACATATATGGATGTTTAACCCTTAACTATGGATGTTTAACTTTTGGAATAAAAGGGAATCATGACATGTCACACATCTCATGTGTCTTTAAGGGGTTAAACACTGCCTGTCAGTTTTACATTAAAGCAACAGTACCATGCCGGATGCGATTTGACGGCAGGATCACTAAGAAAATTTAGTGTATTGCGGTGTACCCTTCACAGGGATACATATATGTATATTTTCTGTGCCTAGTGTACATATGGAACGTGGGTGTCCTCTGGGTAATTTTTCATGGCACACCACCTGGGATGACTCCCAGATATGCATGCAATGCTTGTAAGGTGCCAATAAGTATAATATGGGTGTCCTCTGGGTTACCATGGCACACCACCTGGGATGAACCCAGCCTAATAGACATGGGTCCTGCGGCTGCAGACCTTATGGAGACAGGCCCCATGCGCCTATATAGTAAGCCTGTATAGTTAAAAACCGTGCATACAGCTCTGGCGTACATTTGTGGTGAACCCGGCTAGCCAGACCGACACCACTACCAGTCAGTCGCGCCTGCACCACGGCTCTCAGTAGCCAGATTAAACTAATAGAGGTGACCCCTCTTTTTACCTGGGTGATCCCCAGTTCTACCAGGAGTCTAACACCCCTACGTGCTGACCCTCACACTATCTCCCAACAGGACGGGAACGAGTCATGGTGGACACTCTCAACGTTCCCAAGATTTCTAGACAATGATAAACGCCACAGTAACGGCCTCAGTGGAGAAGGTTCTGTTATGAACTCTACCCCACACCGCTTGATGGAGACCTCAGGCCCACAAGCCTTCAAGTCAAAACGGCAAGGGAAGGGCTCCAGCCCCCCTGCCACTAAGGTCAAGGGCAAGATGCCCATCGAACAGACCAAATAGGCGGAGCACCGGGAATCCAAACCCCGTCCGCCACAATCTTCCGACAAAAAAGACTATTACCCACCACGTACTTTGGACATGGTAGATGAGCGACACGAAGACAGCTCACCGTCTGAGGAAATGGAACGGCAAGACCTTCCCCACACTTCCTCGAAGTAAGTTAGGGAAACCTTACTCCGTGACGGCGGCTGAGGCAGAGATAACTGTAGCGGCGCTAAACCAGAGTAGCCGAAGACGGAACGTTCCTGGACGAACACTATTGGCTGCACAACCCTCGGGGGATGGAAGGATGCGCACGCCTCAAGACCGAGTTGCCCCAGGGTACACAACTCAACCCTACCACCTCCAAAGAATGGTCTCAATGCTCGATATGCCTCCTGGGCAACGTAAATGACCCACTATGCGCCGACAGACGCAAATCTGTACTGGGCCGCATCGACAACACACTATTGGACCTAGGAACGACAAGTATTCGGCCCAAAAGCACAAGGCCTACTATTCGACGTAGTGTTCATTGCAGTACTCAAAAAACACGTGAATTTATTCACCACACTAAACACAGACCTCGCTAAAACAAGTCTTCCACAACCCTACGGGAAAGGTGTTTCTGGGTGGACTGGTCGGTAGCTGAACCGAGCCATCAGCCGCTTCGGGGCGACAGGTTCCAGATCGTATACACAGTCCTCATATTTCTCCCATCTACTACACAAAGGAACCCATCCGCTTCATCTACTAGTGTGTCAACCTACATAACTAACTGTTTCCAATATTATGACCGGCAACCTGTCTCTGTTTTACAGAATTGGGAGACGACTACCAAAGTCACCTGGGTTCTCCAGACAGTACAAGGTTATGTCATAGAGTTTTATCACAGCCGTGCAGGTCGCCCCTTCACCTCCATTACGCACGCTGGCGGAACAGGAACGCCTCGTGGACAAGAAAATCTGCACCCTTTTCAGGAGGTGCGCAATTCAACACGCAACGGAGGGGAAGGCTTCCCCAACAAATTTTTCCTGGTCAAGAAGAAGCCAGGAGACTACATCAATGGAACTCCTACATGGTATACAAATGCTGCAAGATGGAGGAAATTCGTCTTCTACAAGACCTCCTAGGCGATAACGACTGGTTTACACATCTGGACCTCAAGGACGCACGCTTGTCGGTACCCGTTGCCCTGGACTGCTGAAGTTTTCCTCCGATTCCGATGGTGAGGACAAACACGGCAGTTTACGACTCCGTGGTGCTCGCGAACCTACTGTAACCAGTGAGGGCACACATCCGCAAATTTGGGCGTGTGATGCCTCGTATACCTGGAAGACTTGCTGATTCTTTACGAATCCAGGCTACATTTGCAGACAGATTTGTCGTTCACTTTCGGGACTCCAGGGATTTTTTGTTGTACACAGACAAAGATCGCTTCTCCATCTGAATTGGGCCAGTTCCTCAGTTTCGACATCGGCTTGGAGAACTACGTTCCGCGTCAGTCTACGGCAAAGAGCGCCTCTATAAGGATAGCTGTCGGATTGGGGGATTCCTCTCCTCCTCTCCTCCTCCATACAAGCGTTATCCCCTGGCCCACTACGACTGATGGTGAGATACGTACGCACCGGTCACTCATACGACCACTGGATCCCACTGTCAGCGGAAGTGAGGATGGAATTTCGATGGTGATTACTTCACATACAAACTTGGATTGGCAAAACGATCTTTGACTCTTCCTTCGGATACGGGGCGATGGATGAACCCCTGCAAACGCGACCCAGCCGTTTCTCCACAATAGCAAGGGTGCTTCGATACACACACACACCCACAAGATATCGCTCCTGCTCATGACACCCCTCGGGCAGGGCCAACCGTGATTTCCCGGATCGCCTGGAGATGTCTCGCGAAGACCCTCTACTACTCCCTACCTTCCCTCTACTTCTGACGGGACCTCGAGGGGAAGCCCACTCCCTTGTCATGGAAGGACAACTGGCACTAGTTGCCTGGACGGCTTCAGGGGCTCCTGGTCAGATCACGACCTATTGCATCAACTAAGACCTCCTATGGGACTCATAGGCTCCCGGGACCAGGAAAGGCTATATTTCTGCCTGGTCGGCCTGGAGTGATTGGTGTGTGGAAAGGGATTCCGATCCCTTTACCGCACCTGTCCCACTGATCCCCAACTATCTGTCACACCTGGTCTCGTTGGGTCGGTCATATCGATCCCTCAACGTGATCAGATCCGCCAGGTCGGCGGCGCACGTTCCGGTACAGGGCAGACCAATAGGTCAAGATACACTGGTTTGTCGACTACTGCGGGGTGCCGAATTGTCGAGATCCCTGCACCCAAATATTCACGCCTCTGGCAGGTGGATGTGGTGCCGAGATTCCTTAGGGAATGGCCGGACAATCCTTG